TCCTGAAGACTGAAAGCGCTATCAGGCTTGGCAGCCTCGGCTCCCAGCTTTGCGAGTCTTGCGGGCTCATAAGCCACGCGATAAACACCAATCGTGTCGGCGTTGAGCTTCCACGTGGAATTCTTGACATCCTTGAGCGCAATCTCTCTCGACCTTTCCAGATCCAACACGGCGCTAGGGTCCACTTTGGCCTCTCCCGAAGCGGAAACCGTCTTGAGCTGCAGAGGAACGTACCACAACGTCTCATCCTCTTCCGGCTTGACATCGCCAGTGCTCAAGAACCTGTTCTGACGAACAACGATGCTGTCCTGCTTCTCTTCGACCGTAATGACGGGATAGCCAATCTTCAAGATCCAATTGCTCATGATTCTAGCAACGTCCAATCCCGAAGACTCGCTGATTCCAGCCCACAAGTCCTTCGTTTCGGCGTTGGAGTAGAGATGCTTGGAGAGGTAGATGGCCACCCCGTTCAAAAACACATCTTCGCCAACAATCGCAGCCAGCATCCTGAGCACGCTTCCTCCTTTGCTGTAAGAGCAAGCATCGAAAATCTGAGCGATTGCATCCTCCACATTCTCCCCCTTGAGCGGCAGCTCGATGGGATGGCTGGAGCGCTTGGCATCCAGTTCGAAAGCGCGCTCCAGATGAAGTGCAATGAATTCGCTCGCGCTGTCCCACTCTGGGTAGAGTCGGTCGAGGATGATGACTTCTCCCATGAGCGTTGCGAACGCCTCGTTGAGCCACAAGTTATCCCACCACTTGGGCGTCACAATGTTTCCGAACCACTGGTGGGCAATCTCGTGCGATTGCACCGAAGCTGTCCTCTTCATGCCTTGCAGGCCGCTCTTCAGCGGGTCGTACAGGTAGACGCTGGTTCGACCCGTAATCAGTCCCCAATTCTCCATCGCTCCCGCATCGAAATCGGAGGCGACGAGCGTGTCCAACTTGGGCAGAGGGTATTCTTGCTTGAAGATCTTTTCGTACACGGGCACAGCACGAGCAGTCACATCGAGAGCAAATTGCGCCTGATGAATGTACTCTGCGGTGGTGTAGATTTTGATGGGCACAGTGCGACCCGTGATGGGGCTCTGGAAGCTGGATTCGAGGCTTTGAAAAGGTCCATTAGCGAACGCTACCAGGTAGCTGGACACCAAAGGAAGCTTGTCGTAATTGGTCACCTCCCACTCGTCACCGGCTCCGACAGCGTTTGCCACTTCCGTCTTGAGAGTCTTGGCAGCTTCAGTGACTCCCGATTGCACGCCAAGCTCCGTGAGGCGCAAGAGCTTGTCGGCATCCGAGCGGCTGATGGGCTTGTTGCTGATTGCAGGCATGTCTGGTGCGAGCGAGGGAAACAGAGGACGACAGCCTTGTTCAGCGCAGCTCTTCTTGAGCCTCGCAGTCGCCCTTCCTCCAACTTACTGGCGAGGGCTGTAGTGTCCTTGCGATGAATCATGGTGAAGCTGTACGTAGCCTTGGCCTCTGGCTCGTCAAAGCACGGGAAAGCCTTTCTGGCAGCAGTGGCCTCGAATTGGGTCAAAGCATAGAAGCCCTTTTTGCCCTCGTGCTCCCAAGTGGAGCGATAGTAGCCTGGAGTGGGGGGAGTGGGTGCGAATTGGGAAGCAGCAGTCTCAGAGCCGAACAAGCAAGGACAGTTCCTATTTTGCTTTCTCCACTCACCCATCATGCTCGCGTCAATCTCGGACTGCACGAGGGCGAGAGGAGGAGAGATGATGAGGAGAGGGGGGTCAGCATACATGGTACACTGCGCATGCCGAGGGTCTGGCAGCTTCTCCAGCCTGCCTGCAACGCGACCTGAGCGCCAAGAAGAGGCGGTTTGACTGGGTCAAGGAGCAGCGCTCAAGTCGGATTCACCTCGAAAGCTACCGAGATGGTGGCTTTACTGCCTTTGGGCAGCGTCGTGGCCAGCTTTGCAGTGATGCGCTCGTGTTTCTGCGCACGGGACGGGACGAGGTGAGCAGGCGAGCGAGTTAGCCCAGCCGAGACTTGACGATGAATGAGCGGGGCCGGGCAGGCGCCACAACCCTCATTGCCTGCCAGTACATCACACCAAATCACCTTGTCGACATCGAGGGAGACGATGCTCTTGTTCTCCGTCTTGAGGGCATCAGCCTGTACGGCGGCCTTGTTGACGTTGAGGCCTTCTCCCGCATTGAGCACGATCTGATCCGTCTCCTTGATCACATCCAGATGAATCGTCACCAATCCGCTAAAGCGCAGGGACTGCAGATCGGAAAGGATGGTCAAATCGTAGTGCGTGGGTTTGGTATGCGTCGGCAGACGAAAGAACTCTTCGCCGCCCAGAGAGGCGACTGGCGCAGCGCTGTTGCTGGATGTCGACATGCTGATTGCGCTTCGAGTAGAGTGTGTACGCAAGAGGTGGAAGGGAGTTATGGAGGTGGATAGGCTTTGAAGCTGCGTAACGCGCAGGGATGAAAGAGCGAGGAGAAGCGCAAGGAGTGGAAGGA